TAAGCAAGTTACTGTAAGCTACTATGCGGGTTCTCAAACTTCCTAGAGTCACGCATGGCCAAATACTGTGTTTTAACAATGTCAAAACAACAGTAGCCGGTTTGTGCTGGATTTGCGGCCACTGTTCAGTGATTGGGGTTCATTCAGCCGATAGAAGAATCCATTATTTGAGATAGCCGTAGTGTTGTGCACTCAGAAGGCTATTTTCGTCTAATATGACATTTTCCTTTTGTTTTTCTATTGCTTCGACAAGTTCAAAACATTTTGAAAACTTCCAGGAGTAAGTGACTCATTTGAAGGACAGGTTTGAAAGGTGAAGGCAAACTGAGGGGGAGAGATTTGGTGTGATACCTCCAGTGGAAAATTTCATTGGTAGCCCAAAGTTTAAGCGGGCCACCGGGTGGAATATATGGATGTTTCGAGGTGAGTAATCAATTTCCATGCGCATATGAACAAACCGTGGTGTACACATGCTTCAGCGACAACGTAGGCTTGATTATTAACTCCACTCAATGTTCTGATTCTCGCAGACCAGTGTGCTTACCGTTACGAAACCACAGTCATGTGTCCTGATTTGTATCCAGTGGTTTCCTCAAAAGCTTGTGCTGCCGGAGAGTCTCCACCGCGTATATTGCGTAAGACTCCTTTTCTACTTGTTTTAATTATTCAGATGCCAACAAATTACGAGAGGTTCCGTTTACTTACCCCTAAATTTCGCCAAATTATCACCACGCAAGTTAACAGCAAAGCTACATAAATTACCACAGCGCGTGGTGGTGGGTTCCTAGGTTTATAACAGTTCATCAAATAACTATTGAGGGGCTAGTTAGTGGGAGCTACATATTTTTGTGCCGGGTGAATAACAATATTAAGTGAATATATGTACTTTAACACGGTGCTAAGGAGGGATATTCGAGTCATTTTTTCCCTAAAGTCCGAGTTTTTAAACGTTTCCGGTGTTTGAGGTCTGATGCAGACTGAGGTGATGGGGAAAGTACACCAACCATGGGAACAGAAACTGCTGTGATATTGAGCTTCCGTGTCCAGGATTTCTCAACCTAACTTGGTGCCGGTTCGCTCTGCCCATAGGTTTGCATGCTGAAATTATCCACAGCTCGCGTCGTCAACCGTGGAACGGGCCCCCTAGATTGGTAAGTGACGTTGGAATTACGATGATACCTGCTTCGACATCCATCAAGATGACTTGGTTCTTCTGACGGCAATGTAAAACAGACAACCACTAGGCTGGTGTCTACTAGCGACGGTGTTGTTCTCACTGTTGACTTGTCTCACTTCCCGGACGTGGCATCTTAGTGGAGTTGTATGAGGCCAATAGCGGTGCACTTGACCACGAAGTTTGCAGTGGTGCCAGGATGCTGCCGACCTCTATTTTTGTTCCAGGTACTGGTGAGGTCTTGTTGATTCCCTCCTTGAGAAGCTCTGTGGTTGTTGACATGCACTTAAAGCCAATGTTTTCTCTCATCGAGGCTCCCTTTCATGCCACCTTTTTAAGCGTGCTTACATCTTTTTGGAGCCAGCATTTTATCTTTTGTGCTTTGCTCGTTCTTTTGGCTTTTCACAATCTGGATTGGATACATTTACATTTTTCGCCTGGAAATTGAATCTTCTAACATGTACATTTTCCGCTAACTGTTGCCGTCCTTTCTCAGCGACTACTGGTTGCATATCTCTGTTTTTCATCAATACGTGAACTTTGGCTTGGACTTCAGTGTTCTTTGCTTTTTAACGTGACTTTGTAGCATCTTGCCGCTTTATCTACCAGTTTACTGCAAAAGCTTAGGTTGACAGACAACGAATAACTTTAACCTGTGTTGCAGATAAGTCTCTAATCTTGCTATCCTATTGTCAGACAGTAAATTTTTGTTTCTTTATGTCTGTGCCTTGTAGCCTTAAAGTGAGTAACGTTATTGCTGCCTTAATCAAACCAATCCATAAAGCTAAGAGATCAAAAGTTTCGAATCCCTCACTAGGGTCTGACAATGGCTTATTTATTAATGGTCCTTCTGTCGATCTGTCTGACGTCATGGCTGACGTATATAATGGTGTTATTGCCAACAAGCGTAATACTGTTGACGACAGTAACGCGATTGCTGATCTTCAGCGTAAACTAGACTGTCTTACACTTCTGATTCGCCTACTCAGCCCAACAACGGACTTACCAGTGGATAACCTTATCAAGTGTGAAACATTGGCGAACTTTGTAGCCACTGAGGCCAGCAAACGATTGACTTCGTTGAACAACTCCATTGTCCTCAATGTCCCTGATAGTTTTCCATTAAGACTTGTTAAAAATGATCTCCTCCAGGCATGCGGTTTGCATGAATCTGGTTGCACAGCCGGTCGTCTTAGGAAGAGGACCAGTAAATACCCCTGTCCAATATTATTCCACTTTAGCTCACCCCTTGATGCCAGACACTTTTGTGGTTCACAGAAATCTGTAAGACCCTTAAGAAGCTGTGGGAATGTTAGGGTACTTCCAGATCTTACCTCATGTCAAAGACGGACACGTGTCTCGAAACCTTATGAAGTCCCTCTGGAAACTTCATCAGGACCAACGGCCGGCCGAAACATACTGCCGCCTGGGAGTCAGCTCCTCAGACCAGATGATACTGTGAGTGTAGATCAGAAAAGGTTGACCGAGTATATTGTTGCAAGTGCATCAGTTGCTACTGTTTCACCATCCAATATGGTCGTAAACACCGGAACTGAAGGTCAAATCTCCACCAGTTATGCATATTTATTCTCAGATGATGTTGATATGGATGGTAGTGGTAACGATACATCCGATATGCACCTGATTCTCCTGAGTTTATCGATGAAACCTGCATCACCCAGATGCAGTTACGCTGTTAAGCGCCTTCAGATACCATGTCGGCCTCTGGGTGTACCGACAGTGCATAGTCACAAAGTGCCCACGTTTCGAAAATCCAAATCTAGAAGTCCTAGTTCGAGTATACCGCCAAAGCCAGTGGCACAGAAACGTATTGACCAGCCTCGAAGTAATTATATTCAGACTGTTAAACCTAATGGTTATAACGCCATTCGAGGAGTGACCCCGTTTCCTTACGCAGACACATTCACGACATCCACAGGCATGACACCAAGTACTATGGTACCCTCACTAACCAACAGAAAGGTAGGATTCATACACCAAGGTGGTAAAAAGAAAGGGAACATGCCTAAGAACGTTCAGAACACGAATGCCTCTCACAGCCATGAAGGCAAGGGCTACAGGAGAAACGATGAGGTTTTCTCCCCACACCCATCTACACAACATTCAAATCCAATGTATGCTCGCCCCAGTACAACGATATCACCTCCTAACTGGAGGCCTGTAGTTCAGATGCAGCCTGTGGTACTGGCTCCCCAACATAATGCACCCTACCCCTTCCCATGCAGAAGTGAAACCATAGATTTAGTTGGTTCATTTCGGCGGACACCCATACCCAGGGCTCATTCTGACAACCCAAATTTTCGCGGACTTCAAAATTATTAGCGCCTTTTGCTGTTCAGATGACGACGCTGTCACATCAGCTACTCTCAATCCTAACTCACAACCACCACAGTGGCGGGGAAGATGTTACGCCAACCTGTCATCCTCCCGGCTCATATACAGTGGGTCAACACCTAACACAATAAGGGATATTAGTAGTAACCCAGTAGTATCTTATTCCCCTATTATGTCCCCGGGATTAAATTCTACCCCATTTTCCTCACCACTACAGTTCCATTTAACCTGCGAGAAAATGCTTTCCGGAAACAGGTCTAGGTATTACCGCCTATCCAATTCTTTAATAATAATAATAATAATAATATATGTCATACAACAAAGGTTACATGGATGCAAGCCAGTTTACAGGTTTGATCATTTTGGTAATGAGAAATGACCATTATGTACAATGTTAAGCTATATATTAGATACTGTTATTTATAGCATATGAGAGGTGTGTTGAAGCAGGCCCAGTTTGAATTTGAGGATTATCCGGTTATTGTTTGAATCATCCAATATTCTTGGGGGTGAGGCCGCATCACGGTCATGACCTTGAGGTGTGCGTGTTCGTCATAAGGTTTTGATGGCATGGTGCACACTGACAAATGCGGGCACTGTAATGCGTTGCCAGTAAAAGTAGTCTTCATCCCAACAGTCGGCAATTTCAAGACATAAAGCCTTGATAGTTGAGCAGTAGCCCACGGTTTACGCTCATCTAGTTGGAATACTAACCAGACCGAAGAAATCAACTACTGTCACACCGTTTCAATGCTGTCACTTCTACGCCAGTTCTCTTCCTACCCTAATCGTTTAAGTCCTTTTCATCCCTCTTACTCGCTATGAACTAACCTTACTAAAAGAAGTACTGCATATCTTTGCACCCATCCTGTCTCACTTTGGTGTACATAGATTAATCCCCCATTTTCTTTGTGGTTCACTCACACACATCTGTCTCCCCAGGTTATCTCTTCACTACCCCCAACCCTCTCCTGCGGCCGGTCGAAACAACTGCCAGGTACCCCGACATTTGAAGAACCCATTTGCACTGCGGTCCCAGACAAAAAACTTCAGGAACTGTCCTTGTGCGGACTTGAAAAACACAGGGGCCAATCACTAACTATTCATACTTGTAACATGACTGCGAACGCGAGACCGAGGAAGAACACAATAACGAAGTCAGACGGAATAATATGTCCGAAAGATCTTGCGAAAATACTGATACGTTCCGACTGGCTTGCTAGAAGGTCTATTACGAGCGGTGCAACGTTACATGACAACGTGCCAAACGGTTTGGGTGCTTAATCGTGTGCCTTCAACTTAGGGAGTTCGATAAAACTATGAAGGCCAGCGTCGATTTTGAGCCTCATTGGACTCTAAGCCATTTCTTTGGGGAATTATATTCCGTCACATAATCAATATCACTTTTTGGGTATACCAAAGCTATAGCAGATGAGTGGCTAGATCTACTGCACCGGAACCCACCATGAACGTGGAACTGTTCCGCAAGACCTTGAAGTTGACACGAAGAAGTTGACTGGTTCAAACAAGCCCAACAGACATATATTGGATTAAGTGAGAGGAACTTGGTAACCACGTATATCGATGACAGCAGTATTCTAAATAAAAGAAGCTAATTATACTCCTGACTTATACTTTTTAGGATTTCTGCAGGAAGTCCGATTTTTTGAAGTGACCTTGGTTGTTTTGATACGTGGATATTGCCACAAAGCGGAGTTTTTTCCAACTATGAGATTTTTCCGTGTGCTATAGTTTGCCAGGTTTAAACATTCGACGGTCTTCTTCAAGATAATGTTGTTGACTTCTTGACTTACACGCTCACTGTTACGTGAACTATGTCCACACGTGGTGCATTTGCATTGTCAGACTTTGTTAGGTTGGAAAAAATTGGTGAAGGTATATGTGGTTTTCTTAATTCATCGACAAATAGGGACATATGGTGTTGTATATAAGTGTAGAAACAAAGTCACTGGCAAGTTTGCAGCTCTGAAGAAAATCAGACTTGAGAGTGATGAGGAAGGAGTCCCGTCGACTGCTATTCGTGAGATTTCCCTTCTGAAGGAGTTGCAACATCCCAATATCGTGAAGTAATTAGTTTGTAATGTCTTTTTATATTTCGAAGTCTTGAGCAGGTGATTATGGAAGATGGTCGTTTGTACTTAGTTTTTGAATATCTCAACGTGGATTTGAAACGCTATTTGGAAGACAGTGGAAGAAATAGTTTACTAGATGCTGAGACTGTTAAAGTAAGGTATTTTAGCATTTAACGTTTTAGAGCTTCATGTACCAAATGCTCCAAGGTCTGTTGTTTTGTCACGGCAGGAGGGTTATTCATCGGGATTTGAAGCCCCAAAACATCCTCGTAGACATCGGGAGAAAGATTGTGAAGCTTGCGGATTTTGGCTTGGCTCGCGCTTTTGGAATCCCTGTGCGCGTATTGACCCATGAGGTACGTAGTTGATAATTTGTTTCGAGTCAGTGAATGGTGCTTCCTTCGAGAGAAGTTTTAAGTTTAGACCCTAAATATGATGCTGATTAATATGTGTAGAACTTGCGCATTGGTAGGATGCCATTCCATACCAGGGTTTTTTGTTTGATTTATAACATACAGTGCCATTAACTTGGTGGCGTTTTGAACATAAATTATTGCTCATAATCATGTCAATGCAATCACAGCGCTTTGAGCAACGGATTCTTACAGTTCTCTCACCTCATATTCCTTGTTTTTATTGGAGGTGAAATTTTCCATATTTCTGTCATGGGTGTTGCATCATTCTTATCATGTGTTGGGTGTTGATTTAGTGAACAAAGCTTTAGTAATCAGTCTCCACCTAATTATATTCGACCTAGGTACAGTATTTTTTCCCCCATCGCATTTTATGGTTGTGTCAGAGCATGCGTTGCAATAGCTGAGTTTTCCTCTAGATTATCAATTTGACTAGAATCTGATTCTTTATTTAGCTAAATTTCTACGTTCCGTTAATCTAACTGACCCCAACCGGCTAGTTTGACACATGTACTTGACTTCACAGTCATGACATTGAACTTGATAGATTATTTTGCCTTATTAGTTCTATTGGGTCCTCTACGTCAGCAACCTAACTTTGCGGATCTGTTGCTTTTATCCAAGACTTTGAATAAGTTGTTGTGAAGGGAAAAGCAAGGCTGTATTACGTAATAACGCCGAGTGGTTTCTTTCTCAACACCAACATTGATGATGGTAGAAGACGTGAGGAACCAACTGACTTACTAGCCTCTAGGGTGGTCATCATCAACAGATGAAAGCTGCATGATATTTTCAGTGTTTTTTGTGACATTCGTGAAATCCTTCCACAAAATGATCGAATAGTCTGTTTGTCAGGAAGTCGTTTAGCCAGGACAATGACGCAGTTTAGTAAATCTGATCACAAACAGGTGACTTCAAGACAATACTACTTATAATGTAGTAACCTTTTGAGAAGCGATAACCTGACCGTATGACAACTCGGCTATCGTTTATAGCATTTCTTCGGAGTAGTAAAGAGAGAAACAGTTAGCTAAAATTAGTGAACCGGTAAGGTTTTCCGGTTCTTCACTAGGATGATTTTGATTGTGTCATTCAAGTTCAAGCAGACAACGAAATGCGTGCGTTCTGCCTACTGTGTTGTTATATATGGTAGTTGAAACGTAAGTAGTTTACGAGAGATATTTGAGTCAGACAGTTACATACATTCGTATTGGTTGAAGTGTGGAAAAGTGGATGGATCACGTCGCTACTGGTGCAGTGTCTGGATTACCTTATGTCCATTTATAGACTTTTCATTCATATACTTCCGTTCATATTAGCTATCGGTAGTTCAGTTTTAGACAAGCAAGTAGGCCTATGAGAGCATGAATGTGCACTGGTTTCCATGGTTTCTATTAGTTTTATTTATCTAGCACTTATTTTGACGGGAATCATATCTAAAATAGATTGGATGATGTTTAGTGATAGTTGAACCAAATTAGGAGATTGGTTAAAAGTATGTCTATTTGATTATCCCAATGCTCGAAATACTTTGTTGTAGCGAATATCAGCTCATAGTTCTTCGCAGGTATGCAGACTTATTGATTCATTTTCCTGTACTATCCTCAACGAGTGTATCTGTTTATTCTTTGTTTGCCGTCTGATTTAGTGATGGTCATTTTAGGCTAATGGTCATAGGCCTTCGCAGTGATTGCGAAGGGTGGTAGGTGTCGGATGTGAGAGAGATGGAGAGGGCGTCAGTATCAGGTAATACCTGGGAATTATTTAGACATAATCACCGGGAAGAAGATGATAGTTGGTAAAACTATAACTGAAAAGGATGGTACCCTGATTAACATCTGCGGATGGATGACTAGGACGTTGAGCGGGACACTTTGGAACACAGTTCGAGTAGCCCATAGCAACGCTCCATTTGCCTACCTGCATTCAGTCGGATCTTAGTGAGACATAGTTGCCGGTCCTCCAACTCTCCTTGAAGATGAGAAGGCTGTAACGTGAAACTATGCAGAGCAGCATGACCTGATGGTTTGCAAGCGAAAGTTTTTAAAGGTGAGAGTGGGAAATTACTGACAAGAGTAGCGTAGGTACTAGTTAGTGTATGGGAATCAGACGTAGCCTCGTTAGATTTATCTACTTCAATCGTCATTTGAGTCTCCAAAAAAGGAGAGGTCTTTCTGTGACAACTATAAGGGGATTAATCAGTTTGACTAGTTTTGTGTTCAAGATCCTTGGGTGCATGGCTATCGGACACCTAAGTGGAGCTTGAGGACATTAAACTCGAGAAAACTAGGCAGGTTTATGATTTGAATAATGGTGCATCAATCGAACGTCAGCCTTCTTCAGGCTATGAAGCATCAGCATGATTATTGGCATTTGATACTTGCCATATTTTTGGAACTGAAAGCAACACTTGACTCTGTCGGCTATGAGGTGTTACAGCTTTTTACCGCAAAAGGTATTAATTCGAATGAGGCATTTTATTGAAACTCACGCAGCTCTATGAAGAGTTGTCATGTGAATCGACAACAACCAGTTGTACCCACCAGAGATGCCTAATGTCACCGTTCCAGTTCATCTTCGTAACAGATGTGCAAACGAGATTGTCTTGTTAGGTGAATAGGCTGAAAAAACTGCAGTTATGGTTTTCTGAACGCAGCAGCAATCTCAGTATGTTGGGCATGTGTTTTTCACTTGTCAGATGTAAAGTGATGCTGTGGGACTGATTTACAACCACTCTCAGTTGAATGATAAGGATGTAAGTGGTGGAATACATCAACCACTTCACTCACTTGAGTTGCGTCAGCCTGGATCGATTGGTTGCTGACAAAATTTCACCTGGCATTCGCCAACTTGCGTCATCTCTGGTGCCGACTACGTGTTATGAAACGAGTATATTGCGCTGCACTGCACTGCACTCTATCCTGTTATACGACTGCAAGATATGGCGGTTAAACGTAGAAGATATAAGATTTGAAGTTCTGGATGATGTGTTTCTTCGTAGCTTTGCTTGCCTACGGTAGGATCCCCACATGAGCAGTGTAGAGGTCAGGCGAAAGGTACTAGGCAAAGAAGACTAGTCAATCGATGAGGTTGTGGATCTTCAGCGACTGAGTTAGTTTGGACAGATTCTGAGCCACCACCTACCTCGACTTGGCATACTAGGGAAAGTTTGGTTAGAGAGAGAGAGAGAGAGAGAGTTCAGGGTTGCAAGACGAAGACATTGGCCTAGTTCATGAAGTCTCTGACTGTTGTTCTAAGCTGTGTACGGAGGTGTAGAATACCTGACTAGGGTTTTCTGGAGACGATAGGAATCAATGGTTGTAGACTCTTAGTAAGATGGCTGGAAACCGGTCACAATGGTGAAGATGTATTCATTCTTTGAAGCTTAAAGTTTGAATATTTTCATCACCCCTCGTCTTCAAAATATTTCTTCTCCCGTGCACGAGTGTTTACTCTGATATCTATTTGTTTTTTGTATGCTATTGTGAAGTGTGGCAACTTGAACCGATGTTCTTATGTGTATGTGTTTAGGGGTGTATGGGTGTTCTTGTCCATTAAAAGTTATAGACGTGATGAATATTCTGGTGTTTGACCATCGTTGTCTTCATAGCATAGTCCGGGTGTCGTGACACATAATAATAATAATTCGTGGTGCAGTTTGGAATTCTCAGCATGATATATTGCAACAACAACAAATATATATATATATATATATATATATATATATATATATATATATATATATATATATATATGTATACTCCTTTACATTTCGAATTGTGTTATTATAAAAAATTAAGTAATGTACGAGACGTAGAAGTCAGCGTAGAATTTTCAGTTGGTGCGGTTATGAACCGTCATCCATAAACGTGGCTCGAATACGTGTTGTGTGTGACTAGTCGCATCTACTTAGTCGCACATTGTTAGCTAAAGTAAGTTCAGGTTGGAAAACAGTTAAAGGTGGCCGGACTGAAAGTTGGTATCTTTGCATGAAGTCTTCGACTGTTGGTCTGAACCATGTGCGGAAATGTATACTTCCCGGTTGGAGTCCGCGTGACAACAGAAATCAGTGGTTAGAGACTCCAGATGATATGGCTCAGAATCGATCTCAATGGCTGGGGTGTATCCACACATTATCGTCATCTTAATCACCATACTGAACCCAGCATTCTCTGGTTCCTCATTGTTATCTTATCACGACTTTCTACCAATTTTGACTGACTTCTTTTTTTCTCTGTCTTCCGTGTTAGTATATTCTCGCTTGATGTGCTAATATGAGGTGTGATAACTCGGACCACTACGCAGTATGCTAGGTCGTGTGCTAATATTGTCTGCCTGACATGGGAACTGAATCTACTTCGAAGTGATCTGAGTTGCTTCACTTCACTGCATCAAAATAAAAACCAGCAAGGTGAAAAGCAAATCGAGATAACTTGGTCAAAAACAGTAGGAAGTCATAAAATGGTATGAAAAATGGATAAAACAACAACGAGATTCGATATGATGAATCATATGAAGGCGATCTGTGGATATGTCTGCGTCATTCAGTCCTACTGTGACTTCTTTGTCACTGACTCGGTGTCACCACAACACGGCCTATTCTACAAAGACAACGGTGGTCGAACACCTGAAACCTCCTCATATCGTCTACTTTGAATGGCGACATTTCACAACCGTATGATAGAACAGAGCGAACCGCAGCGCTGTAGGTGCGTCCCTTAGTTGACAAAGGCACTTCGCAGTGGCGCAATAAATGGCACACATTTTTGAAGGTCAGTCAAGTCTTTTGAAACTGCGTAAGGTATTTGGTTGGTTACTAACGCATTGTGGCTGATACGACTTACCATTTAATTGAGTGAATGCACTCAATTACATCATTTCTTGCTGTTAGGTAGAGGAGCAGTGAGTACTTGTCCTAAAGCTGCAGTTTGCATTTGAGTGGTGAGAAACGCATCCTATGCATTCTAGAATCGCCACTTTGGGTGTTCAAGATTGCATTTTTTACCATCTTCACTTAACAGGATCATATCATAGGCATACTGTATATCTACTAAAAAGTTCTGTGCGACATTAGGCTTGATATTGAACTGAGCATAAAATCTCTACGTGTATATTCAGGATTGCCAACCTGACAAAGCAACTTGTGTATTGTTGTAATTGTGCTTTAGTAGTCACTGATTCCTAACCCCAGCCTTCAATTTCGTCTATACTGAGTGCAAATGTAATAAATTGAAAGTACAACTGATGACACCCAACCAACGCTACCAACAACAAGCTCCAACCATCATCAACGGGAGAAACTTAAAGGAAGTAGCCTCTTTCACCTATCTAGGCAGAATCGTTTCAACTACAGGCGGCAGTGGCACAGACGAGGATGTCAAAGCCAGGATTGGAAAAGCAAGACAGGCTTTCACTAACCTGAAACCAGTGTGGAGATTTACTGCACTTCACTCAGCATAGAGCGTGAACAAGATCCGGATTTTCAACACCAATGTCAAGTCACTGCTTCTATATGGCCCAGAGACTTGGCGCGTCACGAAAAGCATTTCCAACAAACTACAGACATTCATCAACAGCTGCATACGCTCGATGCTGACACTGAAGATCAGATGGCCAGAATAATAAGAATAAGCAACAAAGAACTCTGGCAACGAACCAACCAAGAACCTATCGCTGAACAAATATGCAGAAGGAAGTGGAGATGAATTGGGCATTCACTGAGAAGACCATTCGGGGACATCATGTGCCAGGCCCTCGAGTGGAACTCAGATGGGAAACGACGAGTTGGGAGTCCGAGGTGAGGGTGACATGGAGGAGATTGTGTGAAGAAGAAATGAGAGCTTCTGGGCTGTCGGAGAGCCAGGTTCAAAAGATTGCAGAGAACAGAGTGGAATGGAGATGTGCTACTGAAGCCCTATGTTCCACTAGGAACCCAAGGGGCAAATAATAATAATAATAATACCACTGAACCCGATACATGTGTTCGTTTACCAGTCTTTAAGCCATACCAGTGTTGTTAGGGTTTATGATACTATCCAGTTACCTATCGAGACAGAAGTAGAGTGCAAGTTGAACCTGCAGCTTATGACTTGAAAATCAAATGATTTAACCAATGAACCACATCTTCACAACTTCCGATAGTATGTTTACTGATGGGTGAACTCCGACAACCAACATTATTTGGTTATTGTCCGTCTGTATAGGACGGGTGAACAGATTACTCGTGTTTCTGGAGCGGTCGCTTACTACAAATCGTTTGAACGTATCTCAGAAATCGCCGGTAGGTTTCGCTATGCCTAATTCTAGGACGACGGTGTGACAATGTTTCTGTAAGGAACGAACTCAAACATTATCAGAGAAGAATGATAATCATCTTCGTTTAGTGTAATGTCATGTTCAATCTGAAGAGACACAGCAGGCATCCATAGCTAGAGATTCTAAAGTTTTGGCGGGCGATACCGGCTGTCCGACATCGGATTTCGAGTTAACTGGTTGACTGACTACGTTGCTCACTTTTCCTATCTATTTCATTCTTGGCCTGCTAGCCTGTTGTTTGTGATGTAGCATACTGAGCCATATCATATGAAAAAATCTAATATGAGATTGCATTTTACTGTAGTGTATTAACCAGGCTTTACACTTATATTCATGAGTTCCCACTATAGACATGGCGTTAGCTGACTGGATATTTGTCAGCCTACATTATCTATCTATGGTACATGAGGAGTTTTTGATTACTTATCGGGAACTGAAAAATTCATTGCAGCAGTGCTCTTTGTTTCGCTGTACCACTACGAGGTGTGGCTGTCACCAGTAAACGAACTAAAATGAGAAATTTAGAACACTTTGTCCCTTTTGCAAAATAAAATAAGGCGTTAAGAAGACAAATATTGCGAGATGATATAGTTTTCTGTTTTCTCTACAGTAGGATAACAACTAATGTAGTTTACAATAATTGTTTATTATTCGTCAGTATTCGCACAGTTATATACAGTGAAGGAAAATATGAATACCCAATTATTGTGTGAAGTCAAGTAGTCCAGGATAGACAAAAGGTCACATTCATTATTTTCTACGATGAATCCGAAGTGCTTCTATGGCTTTTCATAACTTTGGAGCGAAATTATGTGCCGCGATTGTAAAACAGTCATTAGTATTGATTTTGTGACCATTCATCAATAAGTGCCTAGGTGCAGATGTTCTGGATTAAATAAACTCTTGAGTTCTGCTCTTTCTATGTGATTAGTGAAGGCTTTATTTAAAATAGGATTAAAAGTCCTGATGTGATTTAAATTATATTTACCATTGAGCTTGATCCCTAGCAGGGTCGGGTCTTGGGTGCGCACTGCTAAGGAGTACCATACTAGAACTGATGTCATTCCGTGATGAATACCGCCTTGAAATCATTAATTCTCTACAGACCTCCAAACTGAATTAAATCACTGTTAATTTTCATTTGTTTTTATGTCACTTGTTATACAATCAGGTCGTCACGCTATGGTATCGTGCTCCAGAAATCTTACTTGGAGCACAGAGGTATTCTTGTGCCGTGGATATGTGGTCCATGGGTTGTATTTTTGCTGAAGTTGCGACAAAGGAAGCGTTGTTTCGAGGTGATTCGGAAATTGATCAACTCTTTCGTATCTTCCGTCTGCTTGGCACTCCATCAGAAGAAGTTTGGCCAGGAGTTTCAAGTTTGCCAGAATATCAAAAGAAAGATTTTCCCGCATGGCACAATTCAAAGTTATGTATCCACGAGAATATATCTAAAGCTTTCAGCGATGCTGGTCTTGAGTTGCTTCAAGTAGGTCGTTTCTTCTCGCATATTCGGTTTTTGCAACTATTATATATGATACATATTTCTTGTGTATTTAGTGCTTTTTTGTTTATGTATGAAGTGTAGATTTCTTTTCTAAAATAGTTATTCATTCTTGTAGGCCTACCCGTCAACTTTGGTATATCTTTGCAGTCATTTGATATAACTTGAGTTATATATGTATGAGTGTGGACATGTGAAGAATAACTTTCAAATTCCACCCTTGATGGTTGCCCAGCTCCTCGATAAGTAGGAAAAGTGGTGGAAATGCGGGAGGTACATTGAAATGTCGAAATGTATACAGAATACAACGGTTTATGTATATTTACCATGGTCTTAGTTATTTCCAGACCTTTCTAGATTAGTAAAGGAGTGAAACTTGGGCACTGTCATTCCATTTTAGTCTGTTTATTAGAAATGTCAGACAGTGGAACAGTATCATTTACTGGATAACGTTTCGGGCATAATTTATTGTCCATATTCGTATCAGGACTAGAATATTCTGTTGATTTTCGTCTCCTCAACCAATCTGGTATTTACACGTTTTTTCACGTATTTTTTCGTGAAGCTTTGGAGCGGGACGATTGGTTGTTAAGAGCTTCGGGCATTTACGGCTTCTTGTGAAGATTTTGGCAATCTTTCTCGCATACTATAACAAACTTCATTTGTCTAAGATCCGATTGTAAGGGACTACGTGGGGGAATTAAATTTTTATTTCACTGAGATGAAAATATACCCCTTATGTATGGAATAGCCTTCCACGGTGTGGGTAGCCGGGAAGTGTTAACCGCCCCACAACTCAGACTGCTATCCACCTCCCCCATCATTACCTTCTAATCTTCCTTCACGTCTCTCAACTAACGATACCACTTCATCTTTAGTTTCTCCTAGCTCTGAAACCTTCGACAACGATCTGAGTCCACAGAACAGTACCCTTGGTCTCCTTAGACCACGCTCCAAATGACTTAGGTGGCACTTTCAGAGTCCCGGCTGAACGAACAGATAACGGTGATCGCCTGCTACAACTGTGCTCAGATAACTGCCTATTTTTAGCTAGCACAAATTTCAGACATAAAGAAAGACACTGTCTGACGTGGTGTCCACCGAGCTCAACTCAGCGATGGACACAGATAGACCGCATTGCTATTAGTCATCGGTGGAGAGGATCGGTGGGAGGCTGGCGCTCCTTCTGAAGTACGTGTTTGAATAGTGACCACGCGTTGGTCCGAGCTCGTATATGCCTGCGCCTCAGTGGATGTAAGAGAAATTTGGCAACAAAACCACTACGAGTGCTGCTGGACAATGAAAACACCAAAGCTATGTTGAGTGAGAAATTGGCTAGGCAGTTATCATCGTAACAGAAGACTATCACTCACTCATGCAGAAGAAGCTTGGTGCCATCTGCAGTCTGCTGTAAAAGCAGGGCTGAAGACCGTAGCCGACTCTGAAAGAGTGGCTGAAATGAGCAAGTGGATATGAACAGCTTCTTCCGAAGTAATGGATGGACGTGAACGCATCCCTGCAAGCCCCGAGTATAATGAAGAGCGAGCGCAACTTAGAAGTAGATTGAGAAAAAGTCTACGCAACGACCGCGAACATTGGTGGGCAGTGGAGGCTAAAGAGATGGGAAAGGCAGCGGGGATTGGTAACAGTAGACAGTTGTTTCGACTTATAAGGGAAACTGGGGAAAAGGTCAACAACAGTTAGTGAGACCATAGCGGAGAAGGACGGATCTGCGATTCGCTCGCAGAGGTGGCGACTGGAACGATGGACAAAGCACTTCGAGGAACGACCAAATATTCACACTGCGCCAGGCTCTGGAACATAGGCACGCTTACCGATGCTCGACACTAGCTGTATTTCTCGACCTGGAAGCGGCATTCGACTCCGTTGATCGAGAAATCTTATAGCGATGTGTCAGCGAAGGGCGTACTGAGTAAGTACATCACCTTATTGAAGGCTGTCTACTCGAACACTTGTGGGCGTGTTAGATTCAGTGGTGAGATGTCCAGGGAGCTATGCTCATCGAGTGGTGTTCGTCAAGGGTGCCCAGTGTCTCCATTCTTGTTCAATTTTGTCATATCTATTCTTGTGGAGGTCTTCCTCTCATCACCTGATTACACAGAGGTTGACCTAGTCGCAGGAGAATTTTCGTAGACCTAGAATATGCCGATGACATAGTCCTGTTAGGTGAAGACGCTGACTGATGAGATGCAGAGTCTTCTGGACACTGAGTGGGAATTTGAGAATGTTTGGGATGCGTTCCTGTTGGAAAAAGGCCCGAGGCGGCCACACCAAAAAGTGGCACCAATGTATAATGTCTCTGACTGTTGGTTTGAACCATGTGGAGCGATGCAGACTAGCCGGTTGGGGTCCGCGGGACAAGAGAAACCAATGGTTGGAGACTAGGTGATATGGCTCAGAACCGATATCAGTGGCGCGGATGTATACACACATTATCCTCATTTTAACGACTCTATACCTAATCTCACCATTTTCTCATTCTTCCTTTCTCTCCTTTCGTACTTTATATTTCTTTCCACTGAATTTTCTTATCTTCATCTTCCACTTCACCACCTTTTTACTTGATGTACTGATATGAGGTGTGGCAAGTGGGACCGTTAGGCAGTAACCCCTGGTCCTATGTTGATATTGATGATAATGTATGGAATACACGCTTCACATTCACAAAATTTTATGAAGCTTGAATTGTGTGGACATATTCTCAGATTTCTCTAGGAACGAAGAATGTTTATAGAATTAGGCGTTGTGGACGACAGTCTTGTTGTTTGTGTGTTACGTTGATTTATTTCACCATGAAACCTGGAACCGTAATGTCTGATTGTGATCACTTTGTGCAACATTGTCTCAAGATAGCGTAAGTTTTGTCAATTCCACTACCACGCCTACGGGAAAGCTTCATTAGACGAGCATGTCGCAACTGTTATCCGTCTTATATTGCATTGCACCGATTAAGCATGGTGATGGTAGTTTGAACCAATGCTTCTTTCAACTTGCCTATGTGATGCTTGTGTTACATTGATTAAACTCTTCGGGTTTTTCATGAGATAATTTCTTAGAGTTCAATGGCAGCCGTCTACTTTGTCTTTTGGCCCAGTAAAATGAGGATTATCCAGTTTGTGATTCAAGATAGAATTCTGGAGTTCCTGCAGTACTCATTATATTGTACATTATTGTGTATCAGTTATGAAACTAAGGATTCACAAATGATTGTTGCGTGATCAAACATTATTTCAACCCTTTGTAATTGTTTCATAAACGGTGACGAAGTCTGCACGTACTGATACTACACTTAGTTCTTTCGGAGTTTTCCCTGGCGAAGGGTGACATTCAACGTGGATGTACTAGTGCAATATAGGTAGGTTTCGACTTTAGACATTTACAAATGAGTAGGCAACGGCAAAACAACAAAAGTGGATGTTTGACAACTGCGGGTTATGTAGATTAGATTAGTTGCACTAGCTCAAATGCATTCATCTCATCTCTTATCTTCATCTTAACTGTGAAGTCATATTTCTTTTTGACTTATGGTCGTTTATGACTTCATATCTTTTATTATCCTTCTGCTACTTTCCACCTGCTTGTTCTGTTGTGGGAGTTGACAACTTAGCCCTCTACTCTCTAGTGCTGGGTTCTGTTTGCACCTAGTGATGTAATCTTATTTCTACCAACTTTTTGAAATCACGTTTGGCTCACTATGTGACTGATTAAAATAAACCGAGATATAGTGTATAAACTTAATTGTGGATGATAAATTTCTGTATTGATGATACTGACGGTGTCTTAGCATCGGTCTCATGTGGTGGGATCACTGTGTGGCAAGAATAGGTGTGGGTATGGGATACTAGGCAAATAAAGTAAGTCAGTAGATGAAATTGTGGACATTGGCTAACTGAGATGGATGGCTTGGGCATGTGTTGCGCGTGCACACCTCGATGTGCGATGTTAGCTGAAGTAGGATTGTGCTGGGAGAATACTAGGGGCGGTCAGATGAAGAAATAACACCAGTTTATGAAGTCTGTAACTGTTATTCTGAGCCATGCGGAGAAATGTTGACTGATTGGTGTTCTCGAGATAATAAGAATCAGTCAGTGGTTGAGGACTTTTGGGGATATTGCTGAAAATCGACCATAGTGATGCAGATGTATTCAGTTTTTGATATGTTTGTGGAAGTTTGAACATTTTCACCAACCGTCATTTATTTGTTCTCTCTTCTGTCACATACTTTTTTTTACTTGGATACCACCCTTTTTCTATCCACTTGTTCTCTGGGGGTTGCTTTGAATTGTTAAAATTTGATTTGCCTATCTGTCTGTGTCACTGACGGTTTCCAAATTCCAATTTTGAAGATTTTTCACTAGTGTTTGCAAAAGGTTGAAATTGTGTTCGTACTATTAGTTTGTACCTATTAAATGGTGTCCACCACTTGATCAGACAATTACAGTCGATGATATTTGTACACGATACTGTGTCTTATTCCCTCATAGACTTTCGCCAGGTGATTGTTATCGCTTCTTGTCTTACTATTTTGCGCGACATACTATTGATGTGCAATCTTGTAAGTGATACTCCCCACAGTATGACTATTGTCTTTGTATAGTAGGGGGATGTGTTATACACAGACAGCTTGCAAGTTGTCTGATTGGTCATAAGTTTAGATTACCTTAATGATTAGTCAATATTACTTTGCCTTGATCAAGTTTGTATAGTAGTCTCATTGTACTGTGCTGTTGGTTTTTTTTGCAGGCCATGTTAATTTACGAACCTTCACGGCGCATTACAGCAAGGGATGCACTTTTACATCCTTATTTTTCTGATTTAAACAAATCTCTTGTGCCAGCAACTGGTGAAGAGTATATTGGTCTACCATTAGACCAGTTACCACGAGAAATTGCTGCAGTGTTTCTTGCAGATGCCGGTGGAGTATATCACAATTTGAATGATAATGAAAATAAGATCTGTAAAACGGTGCAACCCGGTACCATAGATTTGGGAAGTGCAGAGTATCCTACATCAAAGTATCTAAGTGATTGCCAGAAAGAAGAGCTTGAAATGGTGGATGTAATAGATTCGAAGCCTAGTCGTCATGTGGCACCGTTGGCAGATAATCATGAGACAAATATGTCAATTGGCTAACTGTTTAGTAAAACCGACTGAGAAAAACTTGATTTTTATTCATTGTAAACTTGTTATTTGCTAATTTTGTTAATATTGTGCTCCGATATAATATGCTGTAAATATATTCCCAATAAATTTTAGTTACGAGTGCGACCTTCCTTTAATGCAGTCTTTTTTTTCAGTGAGGTTTTTTCCTGCTTTGACTTCCAACTCAGTGCGGATATGTGTGGCGTGCTCTTAATTAGTTGTATTTCTTTACCCGAAATTGGTATTTGAGTCTATGGATAAAGTTTTGGTCTAACAAGGTTTTCTGTTGAAAAAAGGTGCCCGTTGAGTGTGTTACTTGAATGAAGGTTTTTTACGAATAGAACACTGTTGATCCTGTCTGGGCTGCATCGATTTATCTTCTGAAATGTGTAGGTTGAGTGGTGTCTGTCATGGATATACTCAATTTGCATTTTGATTTAACTGTGTTACAAATGTGCTTACAGAGGTCGTATTTATTTTCTTGTAGCTTCACAGAGGATTCTTCGAATGTTCCATGATCTGGTTGAGTATATAGACTACATAATTTTGTTATTCGTAGACCTGCATGCTAAGTCTTCTAACCACTGATTGACAATCTGAGATACGTTTCGAACTTCCGATTTACGACTACACTGTTGTGATACGCGATCGTGGAATACAGCCATTCAAGGTATAGGATTCGCGGAAGCTATAGATACTTGTTTACTGTCACCCTAGTAACATAGCTGGTATTTGGCAAATTTACCGTGCGATCGGTCTACAAGCCTAGCGTAGTGTAATTGGTGAAGCTGATGAATTAGGCATCTACCTCAAAGTGCTGTGATAACTAGAACAGGGTTGTGTTGGTTAGAGATTAAGGATAGTCACCAATCCAGTTCTTTTACCACCAATGTAGTGATCAATTACTGGAGAGTAACCAATTTGATCTCTAATTCGAAGTACTGACCATATTCCCAAATCGTCTACTGAATTGTGTCAGCACTCCAGTAGTGATTGAGTGTGTCGACTACTTCACTAACCTGAGAAGTAGGATCAATCCTGGTGGCTCAGTGGCCGGTGAAATCTCTGCAGGCATGCGAAAGGCTCGACTGGCTTTCTCCAACTTACGTCACCTATGGCACCGCCGTGATATCCGATCGTCTATTAGGGGTCGCGTGAACTGCACAGCAGTTCGGTCTGTTCTACTGTATGGCTATGAAACGGCCATTGAAGGCGGAAGACATGAGAAGGCTTCCGATGTTTGACCACCGTTGCCTTCGTAGTATGGGTCGTATTCCGTAGTGTTACCACGTGGGTAACGCAGAAGTCAGGGGGAGAGTTTTAGGGAGAAGAGGTAAATAAGTTGACATAGTTGTGAACTTTCATCGACTGAGATGGTTGGGACACGTGTTATGTATGCCTGGTCTCCGATTGCCTCGTCACACAATGTTGGAAAAAGGCCCGAGGCGGCCACACCAAAAAGTGGCACCAATGTATGATGTCTCTGACTGTTGGTTTGAACCATGTGGAGCGATGCAGACTAGCCGGTTGGGGTCCGCGGGACAAGAGAAACCAATGGTTGGAGACTAGGTGATATGGCTCAGAACCGATATCAGTGGCGCGGATGTATACACACATTATCCTCATTTTAACGACTCTATACCTAATCTCACCATTTTCTCATTCTTCCTTTCTCTCCTTTCGTACTTTATATTTCTTTCCACTGAATTTTCTTATCTTCATCTTCCACTTCACCACCTTTTTACTTGATGTACTGATATGAGGTGTGGCAAGTGGGACCGTTAGGCAGTAACCCCTGGTCCTATGTTGATATTGATGATAATGTATGGAATACACGCTTCACATTCACAAAATTTTATGAAGCTTGAATTGTGTGGACATATTCTCAGATTTCTCTAGGAACGAAGAATGTTTATAGAATTAGGCGTTGTGGACGACAGTCTTGTTGTTTGTGTGTTACGTTGATTTATTTCACCATGAAACCTGGAACCGTAATGTCTGATTGTGATCACTTTGTGCAACATTGTCTCAAGATAGCGTAAGTTTTGTCAATTCCACTACCACGCCTACGGGAAAGCTTCATTAGACGAGCATGTCGCAACTGTTATCCGTCTTATATTGCATTGCACCGATTAAGCATGGTGATGGTAGTTTGAACCAATGCTTCTTTCAACTTGCCTATGTGATGCTTGTGTTACATTGATTAAACTCTTCGGGTTTTTCATGAGATAATTTCTTAGAGTTCAATGGCAGCCGTCTACTTTGTCTTTTGGCCCAGTAAAATGAGGATTATCCAGTTTGTGATTCAAGATAGAATTCTGGAGTTCCTGCAGTACTCATTATATTGTACATTATTGTGTATCAGTTATGAAACTAAGGATTCACAAATGATTGTTGCGTGATCAAACATTATTTCAACCCTTTGTAATTGTTTCATAAACGGTGACGAAGTCTGCACGTACTGATACTACACTTAGTTCTTTCGGAGTTTTCCCTGGCGAAGGGTGACATTCAACGTGGATGTACTAGTGCAATATAGGTAGGTTTCGACTTTAGACATTTACAAATGAGTAGGCAACGGCAAAACAACAAAAGTGGATGTTTGACAACTGCGGGTTATGTAGATTAGATTAGTTGCACTAGCTCAAATGCATTCATCTCATCTCTTATCTTCATCTTAACTGTGAAGTCATATTTCTTTTTGACTTATGGTCGTTTATGACTTCATATCTTTTATTATCCTTCTGCTACTTTCCACCTGCTTGTTCTGTTGTGGGAGTTGACAACTTAGCCCTCTACTCTCTAGTGCTGGGTTCTGTTTGCACCTAGTGATGTAATCTTATTTCTACCAACTTTTTGAAATCACGTTTGGCTCACTATGTGACTGATTAAAATAAACCGAGATATAGTGTATAAACTTAATTGTGGATGATAAATTTCTGTATTGATGATACTGACGGTGTCTTAGCATCGGTCTCATGTGGTGGGATCACTGTGTGGCAAGAATAGGTGTGGGTATGGGATACTAGGCAAATAAAGTAAGTCAGTAGATGAAATTGTGGACATTGGCTAACTGAGATGGATGGCTTGGGCATGTGTTGCGCGTGCACACCTCGATGTGCGATGTTAGCTGAAGTAGGATTGTGCTGGGAGAATACTAGGGGCGGTCAGATGAAGAAATAACACCAGTTTATGAAGTCTGTAACTGTTATTCTGAGCCATGCGGAGAAATGTTGACTGATTGGTGTTCTCGAGATAATAAGAATCAGTCAGTGGTTGAGGACTTTTGGGGATATTGCTGAAAATCGACCATAGTGATGCAGATGTATTCAGTTTTTGATATGTTTGTGGAAGTTTGAACATTTTCACCAACCGTCATTTATTTGTTCTCTCTTCTGTCACATACTTTTTTTTACTTGGATACCACCCTTTTTCTATCCACTTGTTCTCTGGGGGTTGCTTTGAATTGTTAAAATTTGATTTGCCTATCTGTCTGTGTCACTGACGGTTTCCAAATTCCAATTTTGAAGATTTTTCACTAGTGTTTGCAAAAGGTTGAAATTGTGTTCGTACTATTAGTTTGTACCTATTAAATGGTGTCCACCACTTGATCAGACAATTACAGTCGATGATATTTGTACACGATACTGTGTCTTATTCCCTCATAGACTTTCGCCAGGTGATTGTTATCGCTTCTTGTCTTACTATTTTGCGCGACATACTATTGATGTGCAATCTTGTAAGTGATACTCCCCACAGTATGACTATTGTCTTTGTATAGTAGGGGGATGTGTTATACACAGACAGCTTGCAAGTTGTCTGATTGGTCATAAGTTTAGATTACCTTAATGATTAGTCAATATTACTTTGCCTTGATCAAGTTTGTATAGTAGTCTCATTGTACTGTGCTGTTGGTTTTTTTTGCAGGCCATGTTAATTTACGAACCTTCACGGCGCATTACAGCAAGGGATGCACTTTTACATCCTTATTTTTCTGATTTAAACAAATCTCTTGTGCCAGCAACTGGTGAAGAGTATATTGGTCTACCATTAGACCAGTTACCGCGAGAAATTGCTGCAGTGTTTCTTGCAGATGCCGGTGGAGTATATCACAATTTGAATGATAATGAAAATAAGATCTGTAAAACGGTGCAACCCGGTACCATAGATTTGGGAAGTGCAGAGTATCCTACATCAAAGTATCTAAGTGATTGCCAGAAAGAAGAGCTTGAAATGGTGGATGTAATAGATTCGAAGCCTAGTCGTCATGTGGCACCGTTGGCAGATAATCATGAGACAAATATGTCAATTGGCTAACTGTTTAGTAAAACCGACTGAGAAAAACTTGATTTTTATTCATTGTAAACTTGTTATTTGCTAATTTTGTTCATATTGTGCTCCGATATAATATGCTGTAAATATATTCCCAATAAATTTTAGTTACGAGTGCGACCTTCCTTTAATGCAGTCTTTTTTTTCAGTGAGGTTTTTTCCTGCTTTGACTTCCAACTCAGTGCGGATATGTGTGGCGTGCTCTTAATTAGTTGTATTTCTTTACCCGAAATTGGTATTTGAGTCTATGGATAAAGTTTTGGTCTAACAAGGTTTTCTGTTGAAAAAAGGTGCCCGTTGAGTGTGTTACTTGAATGAAGGTTTTTTACGAATAGAACACTGTTGATCCTGTCTGGGCTGCATCGATTTATCTTCTGAAATGTGTAGGTTGAGTGGTGTCTGTCATGGATATACTCAATTTGCATTTTGATTTAACTGTGTTACAAATGTGCTTACAGAGGTCGTATTTATTTTCTTGTAGCTTCACAGAGGATTCTTCGAATGTTCCATGATCTGGTTGAGTATATAGACTACATAATTTTGTTATTCGTAGACCTGCATGCTAAGTCTTCTAACCACTGATTGACAATCTGAGATACGTTTCGAACTTCCGATTTACGACTACACTGTTGTGATACGCGATCGTGGAATACAGCCATTCAAGGTATAGGATTCGCGGAAGCTATAGATACTTGTTTACTGTCACCCTAGTAACATAGCTGGTATTTGGCAAATTTACCGTGCGATCGGTCTACAAGCCTAGCGTAGTGTAATTGGTGAAGCTGATGAATTAGGCATCTACCTCAAAGTGCTGTGATAACTAGAACAGGGTTGTGTTGGTTAGAGATTAAGGATAGTCACCAATCCAGTTCTTTTACCACCAATGTAGTGATCAATTACTGGAGAGTAACCAATTTGATCTCTAATTCGAAGTACTGACCATATTCCCAAATCGTCTACTGAATTGTGTCAGCACTCCAGTAGTGATTGAGTGTGTCGACTACTTCACTAACCTGAGAAGTAGGATCAATCCTGGTGGCTCAGTGGCCGGTGAAATCTCTGCAGGCATGCGAAAGGCTCGACTGGCTTTCTCCAACTTACGTCACCTATGGCACCGCCGTGATATCCGATCGTCTATTAGGGGTCGCGTGAACTGCACAGCAGTTCGGTCTGTTCTACTGTATGGCTATGAAACGGCCATTGAAGGCGGAAGACATGAGAAGGCTTCCGATGTTTGACCACCGTTGCCTTCGTAGTATGGGTCGTATTCCGTAGTGTTACCACGTGGGTAACGCAGAAGTCAGGGGGAGAGTTTTAGGGAGAAGAGGTAAATAAGTTGACATAGTTGTGAACTTTCATCGACTGAGATGGTTGGGACACGTGTTATGTATGCCTGGTCTCCGATTGCCTCGTCACACAATGTTGGAAAAAGGCCCGAGGCGGCCACACCAAAAAGTGGCACCAATGTATGATGTCTCTGACTGTTGGTTTGAACCATGTGGAGCGATGCAGACTAGCCGGTTGGGTCCGCGGGACAAGAGAAACCAATGGTTGGAGACTAGGTGATATGGCTCAGAACCGATATCAGTGGCGCGGATGTATACACACATTATCCTCATTTTAACGACTCTATACCTAATCTCACCATTTTCTCATTCTTCCTTTCTCTCCTTTCGTACTTTATATTTCTTTCCACTGAATTTTCTTATCCTCATCTTCCACTTCACCACCTTTTTACTTGATGTACTGATATGAGGTGTGGCAAGTGGGACCGTTAGGCAGTAACTCCTGGTCCTATGTTGATTTGGATGACCCTCCGGTCAAGAGAAATAACTTTGGTTTCTCAACAGTGACTGATCAACGTGCCTAATCCAATGCTGCAGAAGGTCAGTCGCGACCCAAATAGCTTCGTGTTAGCTCTGTGGTTGTAGCGCTGGTTGACACGAGTTGCCATACTCCAGGAGAAATGGGTTACCTCGAAGTCACTGATAGGCCCCGCTGGCGACAGGCACGAAACCTAGTTCAAGAAGGGCTTCCTGCTGATTGCCTTCAACTAACGAACATTGATCAAATGCGCCCTTGTGATGAGTCACCGAGGTTGGTTACTACATTTGAGGAAGTGAGCGATAGGATTCGGTCAGCACTTAGAAATGGACAACATAAAATTGGTTTCTCTCAAATCAATAAATGTTTCCTGACTGCTAGCTGCTACCTTAAACTGGTGTTTGGTCCCACACTAATTTATTTTCTTTGTTCATCACTGCACTGCACTGGTTCATCTTGTGCTTCATCATCTTCCTCTACCTCCTCTATCAACTTCCATGTGTACATCGAGATCCATCCTTGTCCTGTTTTCCCTTCCTTCCTAATACGGTTATGAAGGTTTCCTTCCACATCTCTTTCAGAGTTCTAGTTTTCTCCCACGCAGGTTTCTTCAAGGGTGTTGCTTAATGTCTCACATTTTTTCCTGATGACTGACGTGGAGATGTCCCTTGTAGTTTCATCCTTCAGTCTCTGTTCTTGGTGTTGAACTTGAACTGTGGTCTGTCATCACCAACTTCTTTGAAGGCTTTCAACTTACGAGGTAGAAAATGAACAAGGAGAATTACCGATGTTGGATTGCAGAATAAAACTAAGAACGGATGGTGGCTTGGATACTACTGTCTTCAGATAACCAACACATTCCAACAGGTATCTAGACTTCAGATCATCCCATCCAATGTCAGTTAAGGCAGGATTAGTCAAATGTCTAAATGATAGGGCTAGAAAACTGACTAGTCAAAGCGAGAACATAAACAAAGAATTGAAACACGTAAAAGAAGCGCTAATAGTTGGTGAGTATCCTCCGCAGTTTATTAAGAAATTCTTAGGGACACATAAAAAAAGAAAAAATGACAGTCAAAATTTCGTTTTCTGCAAAATTTTGAGAGCGCCTTTTACCGGCTGACTGATCATTTCTCTCATAAATCGTGATAGCACTAATATCATTCACCCGCTAACATAGAAACTCAAATAACGTTGAGAAGTATTTTCTACATTTATGACTTGCATTCTAGCATCTCACTCACTCTTTACATCGTTAGAATTCTGACTTCGTTGTATAACTTATGAGCACTAAGTAATAGGGATGGATGGAATACTTCATCTTTAAAATATCAGAAATAACTATGATAATCTAATTGCTGCTAATGTCTTTTTCCCAAAGATTCTGTCAGTTGATTTCATTATCGTCTTTATATTGACTACCTACAGTATATCCTACGAAATGAGCATGAATCGACATGAAAATTTGTATGTCAAGCTGAAAATGACGCATATGCTCTTACGGTTTGGATGGAAGTTTAATTAATTCAGTCGCTAGAAATTTAGTTGTATGATGTGAGAAAAGCTGAATCGGGTTGAATTCATAAATTTCAGTTTTTCTCATCAACTGAGTGCTCTACACAGTTGACTATTTATGCCAGATTTCTAAAGCAACATGTAATTGAACAGTTTATTTTCACTTATGCAAATAATGAGTGATTATTGAAGGACGGTAAAACAAGAAAGGTGAGGATTAAACCGTTAAATGAACTGATTATGGTGAAGAATAAGAGGAAAGAATCTAGATTGTCGTAACGTCTTCTGAGAAGTGATTATTAGAGGGATACCAATTGCATGGGAAGTGTTTTGAGTGATGTCTAACTTCTGCCCAGGTGAGTGAGCGTTACTGTTTGTGTAAATAACAAGCCAGCAAAGAGGAGAGCATACAAAACTGCGTGAAAAATATGTCAAATCTTATTTTATCAGTGTGTCTATCTGAGATGGCCGTGGTTTGACGACTCGTATTACTGACACTGGGTAGTGACCGAATAATAGTAATAATACGAGTTTGGTGACCACTGTTATTTCAGATAGTCACAATACTAATGGATATGATGCTCCCCAACCCCTCTAGTTCAACTGGACTTGCATTAGGACGATAATGGCTGGCTGGGCAACCAGCGTGATCACGATCAACAAACAGTCCCGTATCAAGGACTGACATAGAAGTCGGGCAAAGCCCATAGCCGTTGAAGTGAAATCAGGATCTTATCAGCAGCTGGGTCTCATAGATCGGTTGGTAGAGTATCGGGCAGATGACCTGACGGCTGTTGGCTCGAATCCTGCCGTTCCTCAGATTTTTATTTCACCTTCAATCACCATCCAATGTCAAATCCTATTTTTTCAATGTCCGTACTCTTACATCAATTTTGCCTTACTGAAATCTATCTTCCTGGTTCCCATTACCTCTGACATTCCGACTCCGTTGTTTCCTTACACATACAGTCCATTGCTTCAGCGTATGATTGTATCAGTGCATTGTTGGCTGGTGAGTCTCAGTAAGTTACAATCCCCTCTGATTACCCTTAACCACTAATTGTCGTAATCTTAAGGAAAGGAAATGAATTATAGTTAGGTAAGCAGTGTGATATCAGTCTGACAAACAAAGGAATAATATGATCTCCTACTGAATCAGATTCATAATTAAGAGCCGAAGGGCTGTAGAAATATCTGCAGTAGGAGCAACTTTTTGGAAACCTGACCACCTAACATTACAGGTTTCATTTTAATTTGAGCGAATTTTGTTGTTTTACGCTTTCTGTTCCAGCAGCGCAGTGAGTCACGCAGCTGTCACGTACTGTATTCCAGCATCGTCTACATTCCATTGCTGGACTACTCATATCAGGGGTCAAATATGAAATACCTAGATCGACATCATTGGTGCGGTAGCTAAACGGCCCATAGGTATGTTCAGTGTTGAATACACAGCCTTAAAACTACACTCTTTTGGTTTACTCAGTACTTAAATCATTACAGCTGGAATCATTTAGTTACACTGCGTTGTACGGTAAACCCGGAATGATTCAGAATTCCGTTATACATTCATTGAAGTAACTTATAACCGAGGAATATGAAGTCGTTACCTAATAGGAATTCATTGTCTTAGCATCTCCCAAAGTACT